TTTTTCAAAACTATAGCTTAATCAATGTTGCAAAAAAAAAAAATAGAAAATCTTATGCCTGCTATGTTCGATGGCTAAGGTCTATAACGGGGAGGTGGAAGCCGCAAAAACTTGACCTTAAAACTTAAATTCACTCTTTTCTTTGAAAATATATGTTAGTTCTACAAAAACGAGCTAAATGAAGGCTAAGATTGATCGAAATATCAAAATGACAACTGTTATTGATGTGAAAGCTGACTCCATAATAGCATAATTCAAAATGGAACAACCAAAGTAGGTATCGATTATTAAGCATTGATATTAGCTTATTTCACAAACTGACCTAAATCTGTAATTATTTACTTTTAAATTACTTTGTGAATAATTGAAATAATTCGCAACTATTAACAGAATAATATGTAATAAACGTAGAATTTCATATTATCAAAATAGCAGCAATAAAATAATCACGACAACTGTAAATGATGATGAATGAGAATAGAAATTTTACTGTAATTAATTAATTAATTTCAATCAATCATATACTGAACAGACGCGAGTTTTATGTCAGTCTAAAATGAGATGTTTGATATGATGGTAAGATTCGAGTATTAATTGTAATTTAAAATTAAGCTTTAACTGACTACTACCAATTACTTAACGGTTAATGCTTAGTGAATATTTTTCTACTAAAGATTTTATTTGCGGAAAATTTAGTATGAGTGATTGTTCTAGGCATTCCGAGTATTTCTCTATTCTTTTGCGGACAAAAAGAATTGTTGTCCATGCTAATCAGAATTTTATCAGAGGTTCTTTCTTAAATAGTTTGAACAACCTTATGTTTCGTCATACAAAAGTGCAGAAAACTCCAAATTGTCTAAAGTAACCATTTAAACTTAATCTTAAGCGAACTCACTATTAAGAATTAAGTAATTGTTCGAAATTACATGAATGTATATGATTTCATAAAATGTCTATATTAAGAATATTGATTTCATCTGACACATTGAATAAAAAGATTTCTATAAGTTAAAAAATCAAAGAAACTTGAAAAAAACTTTCTTTCGATCTGATGAGTATCATGTATAAAAACGATTTGATTACGAAAAAAAGTTATATCATTTGGGCATTTTATCTTTGTTGAGAATTATATTGATAAGCTTTGAAAAAAAAACAACATTTAACCTATCATAGAATCGATTAACTTTTTTTATAAATCGATTTACAGTATTGATTAGGTCTGTTATTTTCGGATTATAAAGGAAATGTCAACCTGTTTTAATTCTTGATCTCATTTTATTTTTCATTCTCATCGTTGAATTGATCCTTTACATTGCCATTGTTTCTTCCATCGTATTACTTACATGGTATGAAAAGAGTGATTCAACTATGAATTTTCAAAAAGTAAATAACACTTCAGCAAAGTAGTTTTGTTGACTCTTCAGCATTTACAAATTTGACTGAAATGTTTTATTACCTGATTTGCAGAAATTTATTCACGGCAATGGTAAACATTCTGCTTACAATGAACAACATGAGTTAAATATGCATACGTACGTATATGATATACAGTTATTATAAATAACATTGTTACATGATTTCAATATTGAACATAGAATGCTAAATGCACAATTACTAATATTATTAAATGTACGATACTTGAAGCAAGGCGTTGATGACGAACGACAATTATTGTTTTTATTCAAATTTACATTGCATTGTTGTAAATCATAATTTGATGTTTGTTCCCATGCAGAATGAGACGACCAAGATAATATAAATTGGATCGTATCAGTACTCTCATCACAATAATAATTAGGTACTACAGTAATTTGACGTGAAATTTGCTCATACTATGAAAAAGTGAAATGAGAAGAACATCATTAGCGAACCTTCGACACATGAGAAAAAGATGCTCACAAGCAAGATTATTACAAGTTGCATATTATCTTTGTCATTAATGAGCAAAAATGGGCTAGAGGATGAATATTCTTTTTTTATTTCTTTTTTTTTACCATACTTCCTGAGTTTATGTTTCGACTTGAAGTGTCGAAACCATTTTTATTCGATGTTGATTTATGATGTTGAAATGAAAAGAAAATCACAAAATTGAAATAATATTAATAAACAGTTCCCTAGAAAGTCGAGAAAGTAACAAGAAGCGAATTTTATTATTAATCTTTTTGTACTTCTGTCGAATGCTTAGCATTTTTTCTTTCTTGACCTAATTAAATGCATGAATTTTTTCAATAACAATATACTAAGTTATTAAATTTGAATTAATTCTATTCTTAGTCATAGCAAAAGAAAACACTACTTGAAACAGAAATTTTTACTTTCTGATTTTTCATTGATAATTTATTTCACTTGCAAGAAAATGCTAATTATTTTCATATTATTTTTATTGGATATAGTTGTCAGCATGTATTTGGGAAGGGGTACATGTACGGATGTTAAAACAGTTGATTAAACTCACAATACACGCTCTCATAATTCATGCAGTGATGACAAATATCATGCATTAAATACTAGAGAAGCATGTGGTAAACAGTGCTACTCTATTCTTTCTATGTTATCAAAACGAGAGTGTGTAAAAGTGTTGGAGAATCCTATTCAAACCACGCTCATACGTTCACATCCTTTTGATCAGAGAAAGTTTTTGAGCTAGATAGAGCGCTTCTATAATTTGTACAGAACACAAAGTTTTATTGAACGAAGATTTTCGTCATAAAAAAAGCAACTTCAGTTTGTAGGCGACATGAGATTTTGTTCAATAAACATCTATTTTTTATCTCAAAGCATTTTTCAGCGATGTAGAGAAAACGTTTTGATCTAGATAGAATTGCACTCATATGTAGAAAAATGTGCATGGTATAAAAAAGTTTTTTATTTTGTAAGATTTTTAATTACGTTTCGTATGAGATAAATTTATGTGTATGTAATAAACGGTCTTGAACGTAACCTAAGTTTTAAAATAAAGTATTTTTATTATTATTAATTGAACCTACAATGAGTTTTGTGGAAGAGAACTTCATATTTTGGATAGAGATTAATTAGTTGAATGTTTGTTTTTTTGGTATTGATAAACTAATATTCATCATGCACAATCAAGGGTCATCAATTTGTATTTAGCTAAGAAGGATTGCCATCGAAGTCAAAGCTAAATTCCAAAGGGATTTTGTCATCATTTATAGTGATGTTTCAATATTTATTGTAGCGGACGGTGTGTGAAGAGAAGGCAGTCATCAACACTCACACTTCAAAATCGTCTTTATTTTGATATTGTTTTCAATATTTTTGATTTTTGTATACAAACGCTCTTGCATTTTGACTGGTTTGTGTCTTTGACTCCATGCCAGTGAACTCTAAATTGTAGTTCATTAAATAGAAAAAATATGTAAGTTTTCTTAAAGCTTATGACAAAATTTTGATGAATTTAAACAATAAAAATCTGGAACTTTTGATTGTTTTGACTTAAATTAAAAAGAATTATTAAAGCTAAAAGCTGACTTGAATGACAAAGAATGGTCGAACGACACTGCTCGTGATCGACATTCGATAAAGGATGTCGAGTGCAGTCAAATTTTATACTAATCGATGAAAACAGGTTAAAAAGAAAACGAAACTGAAAAGATCTCGTACATGTCTGTCACAGGAAATGGTTAAAAAAATAGTGGTTGTGTCGACTAAAATACTATGAATGTTTGAAGTCACTAATTGTTTGATAAAACCGAAAGAAATATTCTTTTCAAATATCATGCGACTACTTCGTTAGTTACTTGAATACGTTATGATTGTCAGATTTGGATAACATATTCCTCACTGCGCATGACAAAATAGGGTCAGAATTAGATTAAAATCATATACTTTTAATCGACATTTAATCACCTTGTTATTGGTTATAATTACATATAACTAAAATAATAATCAAAATTTCATTGATTCCCTACATTCATTTTAATTACAATCGATTAAAAAATAGTTAGATATTGATTAAAAATGCATGACTACAATCTATGTTTAATCATTTTAAAATCAATTTTAGTTTGATTCACTCTTAACTTTTCACATATTTGCTTATTAATAACTGAAGACCTATTTCAGCGCAAAGCTCTGAACACTTTCGGACATTTTTCGCAATTGAATACGCGTGCATTCATCTTTCTTTACTACCATAGTAGTGCATAAAGGTTACTTCACTTTTTTCTGTAAAGGCCACTGTTTTCTATTTCTTTTTCTGTTGCTTATCATACAAATGAATCGATTGGGGTACTGTGTACTTACGTTGAAGCACATTCAGTTTTTGGTCCCAAAAATAAGCAAATATAGATTGATCTAATCAGAACACGGTGAAAATAAGGCATGTCTAGAACTGCACATTTGGTTGGTGCCATTTCTCTTTCTCTTAAGGTCTCTGTTTTCATGCACACATACATTTAATTACTTGTGTGGAGTAGGTCACTGTTGTGAATAGTCATATTCAACCAACACTATGAGTGATCTCGGCGCTAGTGAGAAGAAAAGTCCGTCGGTTTCTGTCAAGTCTGAATCAGTCAAAGCAGATCCAGTCAAGACAGAGTCTGTTATTTGCAAAGCGAATGTCGTTGTCGTCGATGACATGGAAGACGATCCGGGAGACAAAAAACTTTTACGTAAACTGGACTGGCACCTGATTCCAACTATGACAGTACTCTATCTGTTAAGTTTTCTTGATCGAGTGAATATTGGCCAGGCGAAACTCGACGGTCTAACAGTGTCATTGAAGCTGAGCAGCAATGAATACAACGCATGTCTGAGTGTGTTCTTCATCACATACGTCGTGTTTGAGATCCCCTCCAATCTGATACTGAAACGACTTCGACCTAGTCGATGGATACCGATGATCATGGTGGCATGGGGTATTGTGATGACGCTGATGGGTCTAGTAAACTCATATGGAGGCCTTCTAATATGTCGCTTATTTTTGGGTGGTTTTGAATCGGGTCTCTTTCCAGGTAAGAGGAAGGAGAGACAGATGAGATATGTTTGTCAGTGATTGGTTCTTTGTAGGTGCCAGCTTCTATCTCTCGAGCTGGTACAAGAGACGTGAGCTTTCATGGCGCGTCAGTATTCTTTTTTCGGCTGCTGCTCTTGCTGGTGCTTTCGGTGGTGTACTCGCCTATGGTATTGGTAAGATGGGCGGCGTTGGTGGACAAGAAGGTTGGCGCTGGATTTTCTATCTTGAAGGTATCGCCACAGTGCTTGTTGGAGCATTGGCCGTCTTTCTTCTTAACGATTTTCCTTCCGATCGACCGAAATTTCTCACTGAGTCTGAATGCAAACGTGTCGTGGCTCGACTACAAACCGATACAGGAGCCGGAGCTGATGACCATTTCAGTTGGAAACAAGTCTTGACCACTTTTTCAACATGGAAAGTCTATGTTTGGTCCTTATGCTATCTCGGACTGTGTGTTCCTTTCTATTCTCTATCGTTCTTCTCACCAACCATCATTCAGAACCTTGGTTTCGTTGCGTATCAGGCCCAACTGCTCAGTGCACCACCTTATGTATTTGCTTTTCTGACCACGATGATCACGGCCTACTTTTCTGACAAATATGCTCGCCGTAGCGTATTCATCATTTTTTGGCTCTCCGTCAGTATAGTTGGTTACAGTATTCTAGTAGCAGTTGAGCATTTGACTATCAAATATCTTGCTGTGATTATTTCAGCTGGCGGTCTTTCTCCATGCATAGCTACTTGTATCGCTTTTCTATCAGGCAACATCAGTCCAAATACGAAACGAGCCACTGCATTAGCGTTCATGATCTCGGTTGGCAACACAGGTGGAGTGATCAGTGGGCAAATTTATCGCGCAAGAGATGAACCTCGATTTATCCTTGGTCATGCCGTCAATCTAGGTTTCTGCGTACTCGGCTTAATCAATGCTGTGATCCTTCTGATTGGTCTTCGAGCAGAAAATCGGCGACGTGATCGTTTGTATGGATCTACACAATCATCAGCTGTGTCTGTAAGTGCACAATCGATCTCGTATGGGACAGACGTAAAGTGCCCCGACATATTTGGTGTAGACAACGAAGAGAATAGACGACGATGGGGCTATGAGACTTTGTCTGAACAGGAAATTCGTGATTTGGGAGATGATCATGCTGCTTGGCGATATATTCTCTAGAAAATCAAATAGTTGACAACCGAATAAATTCATCTTTGTAGATTTCTTCTTTAGAGCATTGATGGCTTATAAAATAGATGATGCGAGTATTAGTGTAGGTTGGTTTATAATGAAATAATTCCACGCTTATTACGATAATCATTTCGATATTTTTCCAAATATTGTGAATCTTTTAATTTTTTGAAAAGCTATTTGATATGCAAGATGATTGCTTGAGTTTTGTTTGCTTATGATGTTTTGAATGCACTAATGGTAAATGATACAGTGAACTTAATCGTGGCCACGTTAAAGTGTCCTGCTTTCTCTGTTGTGCTTGAATATGAGCCGTTAAATGTACTATCTACAAAGGAAAATGAAGAACGTGGTTGATGAATATGAAATAGGTTTGATATATCTTCAACGTGATTTGACAAAGAAACCTTCAAATATCAAATGTTTTCTTTATATAAATAACGCAGCAATATTTAGATTTTATGAGTAGGATCAAAGGGGGAACAAACTGATTTCGCGATTTCAAGAGATTTCAAATTATTTCAGTTTGATTTCAGCGATTAAAATCAGTTTGTTCTTCCTTGGGTACAACCAAATGACCTAATATTTTGGATTTAACTATGATTCGACCACACCTGTCGTTTGAGAAAACAAAATTTAAAAAAATGCCTTTTTTCTTCAACGATCTATGGTGAATCCTGTGGCACACACGCTCTCTTAATAAGTCAAAGTAGTGAAGAGAATCGGAGTAAAACAAGTGGCAGACAAATCATGTTAGATATAAGCAACATCAGAGAGTTGAAATGAATGAAAACATCAAACAAATGTGAGGTAGCTGCGCAGTAGTGAATGAACGCAACTGGTAACTGGCATGCATGACAAATCGATCGGCTTAAGTGAAGTGGATCTCGGTGTCGATTTCGTCTTGGCTTCAACCGTTCTAAATATCTGGACCGTGTTGGCACTACGTGCACGGTACTTAAAACCATTTCTTTTTGCATATCCAGTCATTCTAATAGGTTACTTACTACGGTTAAATTATGAAAGCCGTAATGTTCTTCGTCATTTCCATGATTTGTTTCTATTGGTATAATTTGTTCGCATCTTATCTTGCTGCTTATTTTGATTTTCAGATGATTTATTTCTTACTTTTGCAGCATGGTCACAGTTTCTATTCAACTTTTGTCTTTGATTGCCTCATTTCTTTTTGTTTTCTTTTTCCAAATAAGCACTCTATAAGAAGGATTGCACATGGCAATAGGAAAACATATAAGGGAAGAATGGACGAAAAGTGATGGTCAAGAAGAAAAAAAGAAGTCATACGTATTAAATGAAGTTTATTTCGTATGCAGTGCATCGATCGATAGTCATTCCAGTTTGACTTGAGATGGCTGGGATCGTTCAGAAATAGACAGTGACTAGCAATGAAACATTTCATTGCATCTCTATTTGATGATTCGATTACCGCTAGTTAAAAAAGCACGACTATTCTAAAAGGTTCTTGCTTTTTATTTCATGTTGAAGTATATAAAACTTACATTATCATGAACATGTGACAAATTGTTTCTTAAGATGATACAAAGATTGATAATCTTCAGTATAATTTATTTTTTAATTTAAATAGATATTTTAGAAGATTCGACGCTTCATTCTATTTCTCAATACAAAAAAAAGAGGAAAGAAAGTAGCATGTAGCTTTTTCATTTGGAAAGACATTCTCTTGTGAATGCAAAAATCAAAAAACTTAATATAGGCCATTTCAAATTCTGGTAGACATATAGTGAATACCAAAATTATTCAACGACGTTTATTTTCAATTCTTTTCTACTGTTGTAAGCGATGAAAAGATTCCTAATAGTAATTCGAGTAGAAAAAACTATTTCCAATTGTAATTATTGAGATCTTGACATTGCAAAACATTTTTAATTTTTTGAACAGCTAATTTATATAAAAGCACATAAATGAAAACCAGTTTGATCAACATTGAGCAATTTATTTTACTTGAGAACAGGTCGCATAAGTGAAAAGAGAACTTGTTTTACTAAAAGTATTCGCCCTTAATACTAAACTCATCTGCAGATGATGATGAACCTTATGACAAACGAATTGAATACATGAAAAAGAAAATGAATTATCATTAAGGTGAGAGTTGAATGGCAACATGTTCATTTCTCGAGAAATAGGATGAGATGACAGAGAAAACTCGCAGTCACAACCATGCTCACATTCATGAAACTATTCACCAAATTGTCATAAAATTTTAAACTAAATGGAAATATATGTTTCTCATTACTTTCTTATGTAAAAGTTCATTCATTGAACGCCAAATGTAAAAAAAAAGTATTTATAATGATTTGCAATTGCTTTCGCCTATCATATTGTTCATTTAAACTTTTTCTTTTTCTGTACAACCAAAAACAAAAAAGAAATCTATACAAGGCAAAAAAATCAAGATAATAGATGAAAGGCAGAGTACATAAAGATTTATCAGCATGCATTATTACATGCCTTAGTTTTTTTTTTTAAGAGAAAAACTATTGTTCATTGTGAACAATAAAGTAGTGCGTGAAGAAAGTAGAAACCGGTCAGTTTATACATAAGAATGTTCAAGATAGTAAATTTTTGATCAAAACAAAGGCAAAACATACTACTTGCTGTAAGATGACACGAAAAAAAATAAATGTATTGAAGTAATATTAAGCCGATAGCAAAAGATAACACACACGCAAACATGTGAATCACAGTAAATAAGAAGAAAAACAGAGAACTTATATATAGATAATATTTAACACTTTACTAAGGTGGATGAAAACGCGTATATTTTGCACTTTCTGGATGAATTTCCATTTCGGAACTTTTATATTCATTAAGTTCTCTTCGTATAAGTTGTTTATCTCTTTGCGTTAAACGTGTCCATGGTTTATCAGCACGACGATCCACATCATCACAGTCGGATACTTCAATATAATCACAAAAACGAATAATTTTTCGATCTCGAAGTTCTATAAAATTAAAAATGAATTAATATAATCAAGTCTCTTTGTTTTTGTTTTTTTTTTGCATGATTTCTTACCTTGAATACTTGGTCGAAAACTTAGTTTTCGTATTAAATAACGTTTTTTCTCTTCTTTTTCTGCTATTAATTCAGCTTGTGTTTTAGCACGTAAAATATTTCGTGCTTCAAGTTCTTCAGGTCTTGGACGTAATGATAATTTACGTTCTAATTTTGTTTCAATAGTTTCACGTTCATTTTTACGTTCATCAAAGGATTTAACAAGAATATGTTTATCATATAATTCATCTGGTAATGGCCGATCCTTAAGAAAACGTGCTAATGAATCATTACGTTGTACATTAGCAAAACGTTTTTTTGGTTCATGATTTTCCTCATCGGATGAAGAATTTTCATCTGAATTGTCATTTTGTTCATCGTTTACTGCTGTTTTTATTGATGATGGAGATAGAAGAACAACAGGTTGTAATTTAGGACTTGGTCGTGGTGATGGTCGTTGATTTTCTCGAAAAACAGGTATAACACGACGTTTAACACCATTTGGTTTTTTTAATGCACTTTTTTCAGGTTGTCGTGATAGATCAGGTTCTTTAGCTGGAATTTCTTCATATTTAGTTGTATCGATATCTTGTATAATGCTTTGTTTTGTTGTTTGAATTATTGGTGTTGATGAAGAATTTGTTGATGGCGATGATGATGATGTATTACTTGTTGTATTAGAAATTTGTTTTTCATTGATACTATTTGGTATTAATGTTGGAGATGAAGTATTTCGATTATTTACAGGTGAATTTTGTACTTGAAATTTTTCTTTTAATGTTATAGTTGATGGATTAATATTAGCATAAATAATATTATCATCATGTATTGAATCATTAATTGGTATAAATTGATTTGATATAAGACTATCGGAAAAAGCAACATGACGTTGTTCAATTGTATTAGATGTTAAAGGAGAAAATGAAGTTGTTGTAACAGTTGAGAATGATGAATTAGATGGTGAAAGATTATTATTTAAATAATTGGAACGTATTGGTGTAAGACGATTTATATCAGGTTTAGGAGCAACTGAAAATAAATAAAATATATATCATAATTAATTTGTCAAAATCGTTGGTGAATATATCGACAGAAAAAAAAACAATAGTCTTGTCAAGTCTAGGAAATGGTTACTGTTTCTTAATGATAGCCAATATTTCTGATAAATTACTTTTGATTCAAAATGCTCCGATCGACTGATGAGAAATAAAAAGTAAATAGATCTCGATGAGTAGAGTAAAAGCTAAAATTCTTTTTACAGATATTGGACATTCTTTGAGATGTCTCCTTTTTTTTAAATCTCTTTCATTCGAATAAAAAGACCAATATACAGAGAGTACCACATGTTTTTTGTAAAATCTGTCAAAAGACATCTTTGTAATATTTTTTTAAACAAAAACACGTAGGTACTCCGAACAGTGTCCAGGTTCGATCAAATGTACTATGCTATAGAACAGGAGCGATTCTGCACTTTTTTAAATGTAGTTGGGTTTAATAAAGTTCAATGTCTCGAAAGACTCTAAAACAAATTGGCGATCTGATGATACAATGAAGCTCCTTCGAGAATTCCAGAATGCGTAGTAAAACAAAAGCAGCATATTTTTTAACTAGGTGATGACAGAAATCATCAAAAATTTTTGGAAACAACAAGGTGACAAATGAAAAAATCATGTCGTGTATGAAAGATTAGACCTTGGGCTATCCTCCAAGACATTTATCTTAATTTGGATAACTCTAACGAAAATTGACATTTTCTTGAATAACCTTAAGATGAATAGATACATACCAGGAGGTGGAATTTTAGATGAATTGAATGATGATAATGTTAAAGGCGTTGTACTATTTGTTGTTTCTGTCGTTGTTGAAACACTAACAGATGCTGGTATTATTGACAATGGCGTCATTGGTTTTGTATTTTCAGTAAATTGCGTCGGTAATATTCGACTGGTTGATGAAGCTTCTGATCGAAATATCGATTCTGTATTATTAGTATTAGAAGTAATTGACGTCGAAGAATTATCCCAAGGTGACTGAATATAACCACGAATATTCGTTGATGGTCGATCAAAATCTACTGTCGCACAATCAACGGTATTTGGTCGAACTGTTGAAGGAGCAATTTGTTCTGTAACAATAATTCGTTGTGATGACATTGGTTTTGAAGTTAAATCAGTTGATATTGAACGTATAGTTGTCGATGGATGAACTTGTGATAGATCATTATCAGTTGTCATATAACGTCCAGTAGATAAAGGGGGTGAAGATGGTGTTGAAATATTTGTTGGTATAGTTGATGTTGATAATGATGGTGGCTTTTTTCTTGTACGCCATGAGGAAAAACCTTGACGTATCATTTTTTGTAGAGAAAATTTTCCATTTGTATGATTCACTCGTTTTGTTGTTTCATTCGACTTTGCACTTGAATCCATATCAGATGATGTTAAATAATTAGTTCCGTTTTCTGATGGAATAATATCGTGTCTAGTTGTTGTTGTTGTTGCATTTTGATAATGATCCTTTGGCATTGTAGATGATTTCGAATTTACTTGTTGACTGTATGTAGCTGATGAATAATCATATGAATCATGAGTTAATGGTGTTGATAAAGAATGAAGATTGTTGTTATTATTATTAATATTAGGTGTATTTATATGTCTAACATTTTCATATGTTGCCATAGGTAAGATGACATTCTTTAAAGAAATTAAATAAAAGAAAAAAAAATAGGCTTTGAGTATTTATATATTATTCGATCATCGTTTCTTTCTCTTTTCTGGTTCTTATCAATAAATATATATATATAAAGAAAAGAGAAATTGCTCAGGGGAAAGAGAAAGAGAAAGAAAATAAAATTTGAATAGTTGACATGAACCATGTCTACCAAGGTTGAAAGGGCACTTGTGAATCCATTCTACATGCATGTTTATATGATGTGTGATATGAATATGATGATTAAAAAAAATATAAGAAAAAAAATAATCATCATCAAAAAATAGTTTTCCTTACAAACTAACATCATAATCATAAATCAATTATAAACATACCTTATCAGTTTTTTCTTTCTCATTAATTTTGTTTTCAGACGTGTATACGATAGATATTTCTTCACTGTGACACCGTCGTCGTGAATTAGTGACACCCATTATCTTAGAAAAGAATTAACTAAAACTTTACTTTTTTTGTTTATCTCAATGAAAATGATAAATTTTGTCAAATTACGTTCTTCTTCTTCTTTTTCGTTTGCTGTCTGGCCGAGCGAACGAATGCACATATGCGTAATCACCAATGAAGGTCATCCCGCCTACTCGCATATCGTTCGTCTTCTTTTTTTTATATCTATATACATCGATGCAAAAACAAAATAACATATTGGCCTTTCTAACCCTATTAGTGTGTTGTTTACTCATCAATCACAAATAGAACAATCTATGTCTCTAAACACCTATTTCTCACTAAACTTCCATTAGAATACGTGGTACCTTATCCAAGAAAAAGAATAATGATGAAATAATCAACAGAAAAAAAAACATAAGAAGTCGAGTTTGATGTATAATTCATTGAAAACTATACACATCGAAACGATTTAGACATACATAGACAGAAGCTTACCGATTCAGTGCGAAATGAGAGACAGTAGAAGAAATTTATTGATAAATCCCAAAACAATCAGTTATAGAAAAGAAGACAGCATGAGACGACTATGAAAACAAGAGAAACGATGTCGCAATGTCAATATATTTATATATTCGTCTTTCTCTACTATGCACGAACGAGTAACGATTAGTTGTAATAGTGTTGTGAAGACATCTGTATAGATTGTATGCAGAAAAGAAAATGCGTTAAGTATCAAAAAGAGAATGTACGACGCAAAATATATCTTATATGAGAAAGAAATATTGCGATAAGTAACATTCTTTCTAATATATATGCAGCTGGCGCATAGAACATAAAAAAAGACATATTCACTATCAGCTTTTATTCGCTCGAAAACATTTTTGCAGAAGTAATAAATACCCTCGTACATGAATATAGATTAGCATATATAATAAAAAAAAAGGTAGATTAATTTTTTTTTGTATAAAAGAACTCAAATAACATGCATTTTTAAGAAGGTAAAGAAAGAAATTCATCTGACTTTTGACTAATATCTACAGGCTATAATGCCATAGGAAAATAAATATTAAATGGCAGAAAAATGATATTCATTTGAAACTTACACCTGTATTATCCAAGGTGTATTTGAAAATATTAGAACAATTTTCTTCATTATATTCATATTTATTATTTTCATTCTTCTTCTCATCACCATAAATAGCATTGATAAGACCATTTAGATCGTCATATTTAGGATAGTAATAATCATCACTAATACTACGAGATAATTGATTTCGCTGAGAATGATGAGATTGACTTCTTTGATTAGTAGTACATCTACTTGGATTTGTATATACGGAAAGCGGAGATTTTATATTAGATGGTGGGCGGCGATATACACCATAGACATTTGAAGCATATGGTATATGATTATGGTCATACGATCGATTGGATAGAGTCGAACGTTGAAAATGGGAAGAATTCGTTCTTCGATCTGTTTTCGAATACGAATTCCAATTCATATTAAATGGTTGATCATATTTTGTTTGATATTTATTTTCATATAAATATTTCGATTGAGCTGGTGATAATGATAGAATTGGTTTAGATGTCATAGTATGTTTTCATCACCAATAAATATCATTTATTATTACGTTTTGATTGTTTCTTTTTCTTATTTGAATTTCTTCGGTTTACGTTGGTTTCGTGTGTAAAATTAATGTATTGAAACACTTATTATTATTCATAGAACATACAGAAAGACGGAGAAAAAAAATAGACAAATGACAAATATTCGTCGAACGAGAACATTATAAGTGAAATTTTTTCCCCTTCGATTTCAATCGTCTCTCTCTTCTCTTCTTTTTTTTAAAGTATGAAATGCACTTAAAGCAAACGAAAATGAAGGCTAAAACTGAAATCATACAATATGAAGGCATATAAATTGGATGATGAGAGAAGAGTAAATGTAGGTAAAAAAACTATTAAATGCGTTTCGAAAGACCTATTATGTAAAGAAATCACTCAAGAGAACAATAAAAAGTCAAAGTGTACGTGAACACTTTTACTTTTAAAAAGAAAGTAAATGAAATCATTCTGTCTACTTACCAATCGAATTAAAATCTGTTAAATATAAAAAAACGTTCAAGTTTTTATGAGTACTATAAATGTTCGAAAGACAATACAAATATGTATAGAAGAAAGAACACAATAATAATGATAACAGAACAACATTCAATCATAATGAATCATATTGACTCAACATTCGATTTCTATTTGTCAAATCATTCAACCAATCAATAATGATTTTATTAAGTGCCATCTATTCTTAAAAATTTGACATTTATTAAAATGAAATAAATATATAAATAAAAAATAAAAAAAAAAATGATTAAGTTTTTAAATATTATCTATTATTTTATGATTATTATTAATTTATTAAATTGGTTACCATGACATATAAGCAATTTTCAAGTTCGCATATATGTGTATATTATCAAACATAATTGGATTTAAAAAAATATATAAAGTAATGTTCAATGACTACAACAGATCGAAGTCGTACACGTCCAATGGGACACTCGACTGTTCATCAATCTCAGCATACGGGTGCATCACCATCACACGATTCCAAAGGAATTAAAATTCGGTATTTTTTTTTCATTAATAGAAAGAAAACAAAATCAAGATGAAAGAAAAATTTTAGATTTGGCAATAATCAATCATCATCGACTGCAATGTCGAAACCAACGTCAATATTGAAAAAACAAAGAGAAAATAAGCCATACGTTGATCATTTTAATGAAAATGTTGTTGATTGGCAACCACCAAGCGATCTTGAATTAGTTCCAACAAAAAAAATGTATAGTCCTATTGGTACACCACCACGATTACGAACGTATGTAAAGCTATTTTCTTTTTAGAAGTTTGTATGTCTTCGATTGTTTGAAGATGAAAAAGATTAAATATGACATAATAATTTATGAGCATAAAATAAAAAAAAAGTATTTGCAATAAAGATTAATCCCTTGATATACATTAAGAAAATAAATCCTTATTGAAAAAAAGAAACGAATATCTTTCCTTATAGAAAAAAAAGTTTTTAATATGAGACAATTTTATTAAAATTTTATACAACATAGAATATATTTGATTTGATATTGAACAAAAACTAAACCAATCAATATAAATATTTAAAAACGAATCAAAAAGAATAGTCAAACAAATCACCTTATGGTAATAGAGAACAATGTTTCAGTCGTATCCAGTATTAGAAAACATTTAATTAATGCTTTTTTTTTCTTTCTCAAATTATCAATATCTCTTAAAGGAAAAGTAAATTATTATTCTAGACTGATAACTCCACCTGGTATTGAACCCTATCGAAATGCTTACAATTTACGTAGAATAAATAGTCCATTACCAGCACTTGATGATTGGCAGTAAGTATTTAAGAAAAATGTGAGATGTAGTTTTATCAAAATAAAATGAATTATTTAGTACTCCTCCAGCTGGTCTTGATACATGGGGACTTGATCCCATCGATTATCGTCTTAATCAAGATCTACATTTAATGCGACGGTATCCATCACCGTTAACACATTTCGGTCTTGGAAGTCAAGCTCAAAAACAAAAAAGGGTAAAAAACCAAAAGAAAAAGAAAAATTTATTTAATATTAAAACAATATCAATCCGTTCTATTAGTCATACATTGTGGTACCTCGTCTATCCAGTTTCACTACTCCACCTATTAGTAGAGATGGTGTTGGTGGTACTTTCACAATACCTTCTCGTCAAGCACCACCAAGCTATATTCCTGATTCTCAATATGCATATCTTGAAAGAGTTCGTTCATATCCTTCGCCAAAATTTCAACGTGTGAGTTTGCTTAACAATTCTTTTCTTTTCGTTTTTATCTTAGAACAATAATCGCAAAACTTTGTTTTATACCTTTATGATATAATTCAAAGATAAGAATAAAAAAAAAGCCAAAACGACAATATTTATTTTTAGGAACCTTCTGATTACGTTTATGTTCGTCGTAATGATGCATTTGCAAATCGTTTTATAGAAGATTTTATTAGTAAATGTATTGAAGATCAATTTATACCAGATATTTTACTTGAAATAATTGGTGAACTTGATCGAGAAGTAAATATGATTTTGAAGAAAGATTTCTTTTACCGATAAAATATTTATTATTTTGAAGAATAAAAATCAAAGTGTAAAATCGTTTAAACCTGAAGTTGATCGATATTATGCTGAATTAAATAATCTTATTAGTCAAAAAGAAATTGATAATACTCAGTATGTTGTCTTTTTTTTTTGTCATAATGAAATTTTTCTTTTAAGCAGCCTGTTTTCTGACGCATGGATACGTGAACTTGATTATCAACGTCCACCAATTCCTTCATCAAATATTGATTCTAATATATCGTTACTTAAGCCATTAGATTTTAGAGAATTTCCACGTACTCAAACAACAACACAAACAAGATACCACGATTTACCTCCGGATGTACAAGGGCGTCTATTGAGAGATATTAATCAAGAATTAATTGATTACGAAGTAGAAAATATGGTTACAGAAATAACTGGTCAAACTTTAACTAATAAAGTAAGTATAATGGTGAACAAAAGTTTAGGGCAGCTGTATTTTGAAGTTATTTTCTTGATGATAACAACTAGTAAGAATCTAAAAAGAAAAAGTTTGCATAGTTGGAAGTATTCTCTATTAGGATCGGTAAGTTCGAAGACTTCAACGAAATTGATGAAGTGAAGGTCTGTGTAAAATTAAGACCCAGAAGCCAGCTTTCTGACTTCTATTCGAAGTTTTTGAGAGACGATTCTGTTTGATAGAGTAAGATAAGATGTATTCTACCTCTCTATGACCTTCCTTCATCAAACTATATTCATTTTGCAGGCGGCCTCGAAGATATCAAACATGGCAAAAAACTCATAGAAGAGGAAAATGCTTCTTGGATCTTCTGGAAATTGAATGTCGTTCAATGAAAGAAGATTATGAAGAGATCGGAGACGTTTCATTCTTGCTCAAATAGCTTCGAATGAAAGCCAGAAAACTGGTTTTGAGGGTCTTAATTTTCCGAAGATTTTCAGCTATGCAATGTTTTTTTAAAGATTCTTGCTGGATATTACCATCAAGAAGGAAACTTTAGAATACAATTATTCTAAACTATTGTTCATCATTGTATATTAAAGTTCTTTTTTATTTATTAAATTCTGTTATTTATAGTTACGTAATGTCCCCGCTGTAAATGATGCTACAAATGATATTTATCGTGATATTGAATCTGAAGTTATAAGAGATATAATGCGCGATACAGCTTATGATGTTCATAGTTCTCAAAGAAATCAAGTTAATCAAGTTCAATTTAATTCAATTGAAAAACAAGCACAAAATAAATTATTAGATACAATATTGATAGATCAATTAATTGGAAAATATATTAAACAAAATGGCTCAGTTGTTGATGTTGATGATCTTTCACGCTTCTTAGATGGTAAATTCTTCTTTTTCTATTTGTTTTATTTAATCTCATTATATTTTATAAATAATATTTGTTTTAGCGACTATTCTTGATAATTTAATTTTTCATTATCAAGATATACAAGATAATCGTTCGAGAACATTAGATAATTATGCTTTAAGAAAATTTCATCTTAATTCATTTATGAATATGGTAAAAAAAAAGACAACAAGAAATTTAATTTTAAATCTTATTTTTTCTAGACAATGGATTTATTATTAACTGAGCTTAGTGCTAGTCTTATTGAAGATATGAAAGATTTAGATGAACAAGAACGAAAAATATTTTAAGCTCATGCAAGTCTATCTTAATAATTTTGCTTTTTTTGTATGTAACTATCGTCTTAGAAAAACAGCTAGCAATCCTATGAAATAGGATCAGATAAGTATTCTATTTCTTTTATGATATTATCTATTGTGTATGTGATTGATTCTGTTGACCATTAAATGCTATTATGCGGCGTTTTATTTTTTATTATTAGAAATGTTTTGGGAGCTTCTTTTTGTGTGTGTTTATTTCTTTTTTTGCTACGCGTTCTTTATTTTTCTCATATCAATTCTACTACACAATATGTAACTTCTTATTGATGTTTTTTTTCAGTGTTGTTGCATACTTGTCTATTGTTTTCTTTACATCCACATCTGTATAAATTATGAAGTTGACAAAACATATGATAATTATGCAGTGTTTCACTACGCTTAAATAAATGTTATGTGTATTTATGATTTTTGTATGTTTCATTGTTAATGAATGAAACTTAGACATGATAATAAACGACGTTGAGCAAATTTTATCTATAGATTTAATAAAAATTTCCATCGCAAAAGAAGATTATCTCGGGATATAGTTATTTAATAATTATCACTCAATTTTAGTTTGGTCTTTAGTATGAATTTGTTTGATATCCCGCGATTGGTAAAATGCTAGATTATTCGTGACTTTTTAACTAGATAGAAAACAGTCAATCTTGACACTCAGACTCGATAGTGATGTAACGAGTGCATGATGCAGTGGAGATGACAATGGATAATTTAATATATTGATATTATAATACGTAGGGAACATCAGCTTAGCAATATGAAATTTTTCGCATTCTAATCATTCGTTAAGTCAATGACAGTAATTAGTCGCCTCTTCTCTTGTTTTCATGATTTCAATTGCATTTATGGTTGAACATTCATGTAAAACTAGTTTAACTAAATGATCTGATTATCACCATCAGATTAAATAAATTGAATTGAATTAATAAACTAGATGGTATTTGAGTTTTTCCACTTGACTGCAAAATGCAGTGTAAAGCATTCAATGCTGATTGTCAAGAAATTGGCAATTCGCAGAAAACGAATAGTCATATGTATCAATGAAAATGAAACATGTCTTCTTAAGAATATTTTAAGTTTAGACGAACTAGTTTTCTTTCTTTTTCAAAATTCATTATATTTTAAACAAAATAAACTCCAAAAATCTCTCGTTCTATTTATCTAATAAAATATCGAAGCTTAAACGTCATTCTGTTATAAGAGACATGCATTTATTAATTATATAAATTTTAGTTTGGCATTTCAATCTTTTTTGATAAATGATATTTTTCTTAATGGAGTTTATGATGTAAAAACAGTACAAATTGTCATTTTCTTCAACCGATCAAACTCTTCTACAAATAAAACGTTGATGTCATGGAAGAATAGGTTTACGCGCCCTCGATCTTTGCGTGTAAATATGCAGCATTTTAGTACGAATGCGCTTGTTGTCACAATGAATCAATCTAATATAGGTGATCCTTTCAATCATGTATTTTCAGTACGCAATCACTTGTTCAATTCGTCTTATCTCACTGACTGTGGTATGCACAGTTTATATCTAGATTAAATGATCCTATAGATTCTTGACAGCATAATAAAATAAGTTTTCTCAAGCTTATATTCTCTTACGAAACAAATAATAGATCTAATCTGTTGTATTATTGTAGAAAGTGGTGATCACTCCTGTTAAGGATGTGTTTATTTTACAAAAAAAGCATTGAGCAATAAATTTATATTTTCCCAGTAAAAACAGAGACTTTTTTGTTTTTCAAATCAAACAAAGTCCTGTTTAATATTTTTGCAAGTAGCAACCGAGAACAAGTGAATTGAAAAGTACACAATCATGACGCAGGTTTGTTTTTGACAGCTTCAAGTACAAGTTGCTTCCATGTCACTGTTCCACTCGTTAGTTGATCGAAATAATGGTATGCATTATCTGCTTGTGTCCATTCACTAGAACATCTTTTTGGTGCTTTCCTATTATCATCTCCTTCTTGTTTTATTCCTTGGAATTTCCACCAACAATTATTAAAACCACAGTTTGTCGGCTGAACAAAGTTTTTGCATACAGGACATACAGTTGTGGTATCATCAGGATCGCATAGAATATCGAATTTCTTGTAACCAACTGGTATGATAACATTCTGGTCATGAGCTTCACATTCAGTATTGGAACATGTGCCTTCAAGACATAAGCCATGCCTGGTTCTTCGCCAGCGTGGAGCTGTTTGAGACCATGCACATCGCTTTAAGCCTTTACTGTTGTTAACATCTGCAAAACGTGTTCCCAAAGCACCTAAGTTACGACCTTTTATGTTTGAATAACGTAACTCTAGTTCCGATTCCTCTTCAACACCATAAGATGCTAACGTTTCGTCATTCTCGTCTAGTATGTCTTCATCAAAAGTAAAGAACATATTTTTTAATGCATCTTCATCATCGTTGGTCTTTTTCCGAGTTAACTGTTTAAGTTCTTTAACAGTGGTAGTGAGCTCGACATTGAACTCGTATGGTCGTCCCCTTCCTGTATTTGTTCGAATAAAGATCTTCATGACGATACTATAAAGGAAAATTAAAGCCATTAATTCATTTCGAAAGCTCAGATCTTCGTTTTCTCGATAGACACAACACTTTATTATTAGACTAAATATCGACTCTATCTGAATAACAGAAAACGATTCCAAAACTCTGAGGATTATTTTTTAAAAACAAATTCTCACACTGAACAAAACTATTTTCATCGAATATTAATTTACCTTCTTGGTACCAAGATTATATCGAAGACTTTTGTTTCTTCTATTCAGGAGTTCAAAGATCAATGATAATCTAAAATTCAGAACAATGTTAGACGAAATTTATATAAAATCCTTGATATCTGCATCAAGATCGTTTTGCTTTACTTCATAATGAGCTAAATCCTACGTCATTACTGTATTTTTAATGAAAGAGATCATCATTTTAGAAAGGTTTGATGTAGTTATGCACTTTTCATCACTCTTACGTGCGATTGGAATTTTTCAAGAACTTTATGTGATGACTCGTGATCTTTATTGATGACCAAACTTTTATTTTACCTGTAGTGACTCAACATATGTTACTGACGCCATAGAATATTGTGCATTTGTTGTGAAGAAACGTTTTTGTTTTTCGAACTTTTTCCCATTGCCTTCATTGGTCGATTATATGACGAATAGTTTGTCACCTGAAAGAAACTCTATAGAAACGATTAGAAGGTAAAAACTTGAATAAACAGCATGACAATAACAAGTGATTGTGCAATAATGAGCATGCCAAAGTAACATAAGACTAAAAGTCATAGTAGCATATGTGTCCGTAGTAATACTGTATTTTTTTAGCATTGCCTGCTAAATCGATATATTTTTGTATGACTTACACTGAAAAAAAAATTGGTACGACACCGAACCCAAAAGGGTGTTTTTGACTAAAAAAAGGTTTCGTACATAGTACGGAACCCAAAAGGGTTTCGATTTCGTTTCAATTCTCTGAATCCTTATAGGTTTCGTATAAAGAACTACGAAACACTTGAAAAAATATTCTAAGTCTATGACGATTATTTTCAGGCAACCGAAGTTTTTACGAAATCTTTTGAAGGTTCCGTATTTATTTCGAAAATGGTTCGGTGCACCAGAAAAATTACTATGATTAAGCAACCCTTTTTAAAATGAATACGGAACCCTCAATAAGGTTTCGTAAAAACTTCGGTTGCCTGAAAATAATCGTCATAGACTTAGAATACTTTTTCAAGTGTTTCGTAGTTCTATCTATGAAACCTAAAAGGGTTCAGAGAATTGAAACGAAATCGAAACCCTTTTAGGTTCCGTACTATGTACGAAACCTTTTTTTAGTCCAAAAAACCCTTTTGGGTTCGGTATTGTGTCTATTTTTTTCAGTGTAGGCTTGTGGTGAGTTTATCTTAACTTAATTTAGTAGTTATCACTAGAAAACAACTCTACATAAAACTTTTATAAGATTATTCAACGCTCATTTCTTTTTCATAAAGCATCTTGTTCAAGAGCATAAGAAGCATTCACATGCCTATGCTTGAAGAGAAACGCGATGAGACATTGTACTTGAGCTTCATTGCAAATCATGACATATGTCACTGCTTTGTAAAAGATATCCTTATAGTAATAACCAATATTTCGCTGGTACACCATTTGTCACTACTCATCGATCTTTTACATGTATTCAGAAATTTATGCCGATATTTTACTGTGTTATATGAATTTCCTCTCTCGTATGGTCCGGTACAATGTAACTTTCCCTTGCCGGTCCCAATTCTGTCAAATGTGAATATTTTCGAAATGACAAAATTTTAGAGCGCGTCTCTCAACAATAAAAACTGTTACGATTTTGAATGATTCATTTATTTGACATTTTTTAAAAATAAATTATTGTAAAAGCTCTGATAATATATCAAAAACTTATAACAGCCAGAGTTCGTGAGTTCTACACTTTGGTCCCAGAAGGGGTCACACTAACAAGTTCTTCATGGCACTACTTTATTTTCAAAGTTCCACAACATAATAAATAATATTTGAAGAAGATGAATATTTTATTAAGTACATCTTTGTTTTTAAATGTAGTTGCATTTACTATTCGAATGATTTACAGTTAGCAATGTTTTTCTAACCAACAGATGCTTGTGCATGTTTATGGAATAATGAAGTATTTCTGCAACTATTGAATCTACTGACATTCGATGGCAAAAATCACTAGACAAATGTCTCATTTACAAATAAACGTTCTCATCATTGGCGTTGCTTGCTGAAATACAAAAACATAATAAGTCATATAGGTAATAATAGATTGCAAACAATAGCTATCAAAACTTACTTCATATCAACAGATTTTATTATTTCAATTTTTCCGATATATAAACTAAAGTTTCTGACATGAAAAAAAACTGAATTTTTCCGCAAACCCGCAAGAATTTCTAATTCTGCTCATGAGAAGATGATCGACAACAGTGATAAGCGAAAAGAAGAATGCGCGTATGGGCTTTCTTTTCATTAATACCCACATCTAAGACAACACTAGAAGCAGACTTTACATATGCAGTTAAAGATCTGGAAAAAAGTCATTCCAGTGCGTAATGCAGGTAGCACCTTATGATGTGAGTATGAGTAAAGAAAAGGCTCACCTTCACACTCACTCATCCGTATCCTCAAAATTGAGTTTCAATCAATGGAGAGCACAGGACAACGCCTCGCTGGCTAATGAGTACGACAAATTCATTAACGACTTGTCGCGATGTATAATTTTTGAACGTCTCATTGACAGTCCTCTCACAGTGATAAATGAGATATAGCACGTCCACAAGAGAATCATCTATGCACCTTTTAAAAAATGAATTAGACATTTAAACATTTGTCAGCTGGTATTGGCCAACGCAATAGATCTGGATTGAATTCGATTCGAATACATCTGTAACGGAGTAATTTTGCAAGCAATCCATAAGAACATTACTTCATTGATTGAGTGTGCAACTGGTAGATAAGTCACAGAAGCAGTAATTGTCGAGCTGTCATGGAACGACCGTAACGAACGAGTCATACTTGAAAATAAACGATATGTGTTCAGCTGTCGAACTAATTTCAGTGCGGAAGAAATGGAATACGCATATGGGAGGTAGGAATACATTATGTTTTCATTGGAAAAGACTCATTTACAAAAGAAAATGAAAAAAAATCATTATGTCTTTGTCATAGAATCGAAACCATTTAAAAGCCTCCGTATTTGCAACCACCAGGATCCCCGCCATTTCCATCCGATAGGTATGTAACAGCCAGTACAACTATTATTGCACAGAAATTAAGTTACTGTGATTTAGGTCAGGCAACTGGATAAATCTTTTGGCTATAATTTATCTTGTAAGTTATTTTCCACTGTGTAGCTGTTTCTAATAAACATAGATTAGAGTATCATTTTTGAACAAATCTTCATGATTAAGAAGAAAACTCCATTTGATAATGTAATGGAAATCTCTTATATGTATGCTATATCAAGTCAATATTAAATGCCAGTACGATAATTTTGTTTTGTCTAGGTAATTTCAAAGATGAGACATAATATTGTACCGTTGATTTAAAGGCATCGTAATGCAATCTTCATAAATTCATTGAAAATAGATTATGTTTCTTAATTGTTCTTGAAGAAAATTACGTTAACGAATTTTCTTCAAACCTACTGATGCATATCCAGTAGCGATGACGGATATGTGCGAACAGGACGACTGTTGCATCGTTAGGCGATGGAGTAACGAAAGACTTTCCGAATATACTTCGATACGAGTCGTTCGCTATTCCAGCCGAAATGTGTCATTCACGAGTCTTTTCTATACAAACGACTACCTCTCTCTCTCTACTTTCGATATTGCTAATATTCGTATATGCTTGTTGAATCAACTCGGCATGTCCAATCTCCTCAGCGTATTGCGGCGATATCATTGTTGATATCTTTCTCTTTTTGTTTAAATTGTGCTTGTTCTTTCTCTCTCTCAAATAAGCGCATGCTCTATACTAGATAAATACAACTGAGGTGCGCAGTAGCAGAATAAACACCATTGTTAGGAGTTGCACTGCACTCACCTAGACAAATATGCTTATTTGGCTTTTACACAACTCAAATGACCTTTGTCGACTGCAGAGCACGTCATTATATGAGAGAGAAAAACAGGGAGAGTGAAAAGAACAGTGTGAATCATGAAATCGTCACAGTTTTCACTTTTTTTAATTTTCGAACGATCGTTAATACTTACAACTTATACAATTGTCTATGTGTTTTCATTCAATTCATCATTTATCGAAAATGCACAGAAACACATTAACTTATGCTATTAGTTCTTTTATTTCTCATAAAATTAGTGAACATTGCCACTAAATAGGATCAAGATTGCTGCAAGATAACCAGTATTGTTTGAAAGGGGGCGGGAGGAGGGGGAAGTATTCACCGTTTCTTTGTTAGTGAAACTGCTGAACAGAAGTATCTGATGATGAAAATCACACGATCTTATGTTCACTATATGGCAAATGTGTAAATTCAAAGTCCAGATGTACAAATGCACGTTCGACATCATCGAGCTTCTCAATTTGTTCTTGCAGTTGTTGTCCGATTTCATGAGCAATAGCCAGAGGCATGGTGCCTGGTAAGCCGATATCAACTTCGACGAAAAATTTTGTGCCACAGTGAAAAGCTCGAACAGTATCGATTTTTGTCACAACATCAGGACGAAAATTGTAGACAAGATGAGTAATACGCTGCAGAAATGATGGTTCAGCCGTTATTCCAGTGAGATGACGAACTTGTCCTACACAGAAAATAAGAGTCTGTTAAGTGACTTTTTCAACAACAACAAAAAAGAATTGTTTTCATCATTCAAAATTACTCTGAAGTCAGAATCGTCAGAATCAGAACCAGAAACAAACGGACCCTTTCCATTTCAAGTTCGGGCCGCTGAGTATTTTCACTGTTGCTATTCACATATTTTGATTACTCTTCAATTAAAGACGCATTTGGAAGGATGGAATGC